AGTTTGTTTTCTTTAATCTTACGCCTCGTTGTGCTGCTTTCCCAGGTCTCTGTGGTAGCTAACCTTTTAATATTGTGTTTAATATTTGCTGATTTCATGGACAGGCCGCTTTAAGAGATGCATAAAATTAAATCAATAAGCTAATCTCAAACTGCTACATTATGATTCAGACTTTAGATTTGGGGTTGTTGGTATCTTGCTAAATATTAACAACCATACATATTGGTTCAGTTTATATTTATACTGTATTTATTTAGTTTGAATGTTCTCTTATCTCCACCATAATGATCATTACAATCTTATTTCATATTCAGTTTTGTTCCTCCTCCATCCGGATACTGATCATTTAACTTGTGATGGGAAAAAAAGTTTCCATTACAGATTTAAAAACAACAAAAATTCATCCTTGATCCAAAGCCTTTTATCAAAAAACTTTCCATTTAAAATTAATAAGCAAAATTATTTTTGAGAATGCAGCTTGTGAAGCTTTTCCGTCGGCCATTTTTATATCTTTAAACTTTTTTCTGAACATCTGTCCTGTTGTCTTTGTTTTTTGGTTCCACTTCATTTTCCTTGTGAACGTCTTTGATTATTTTTCTGCTTGATTCAACATGATTTGACAGAATGAAACACATTTCCATAGAAATTTGGAAGTTTGTGGTCGTAATGTGACAGGACGTGAACATTCTGCTGCTATCAATACCAAATCATTACCGGTTTAGTAAAAGCGACAAACCTCATTTCAAACACACCTCTTCCTGTGATTAACTGTAACAGGAAGTCATGTTAATGCCAATCTGACCCATTAAAGTCCAGCGCTCCCACGTGAAAAATGACTCATTTTTATCAGCAGGAAATATTTTCCCATTTAGCTGCTAAATGCTCCACTAAGTTCAGCAGCTGCTCGTTAGCCGTGTTGCTGTTCGGTGCTTTCAGGCCGGTGTACCGTGAGTTTATTACAGCTGTTCTTAAAGCTCTGCATCACAAATTAGCCCTGCAGGAAGAACCTGATTTGGCAACAGCAGCCCAGTGTAAACATGATGCTCATTTCTTTAATATTTCACTAAAGTGTTATTTTCAACTTACAGTGAAATGATCAGTTGTCACATTTAGGTTATGTAGTAAAGATTTTCTAGGATATTTCCATCATCAGCTATAAATTTTCCATGGGTCACCAGCTGTGTTTCCATTTACCTTAAAATTCCTCAAATTCTAATTACAAAATAAAATTTATGGAAATACATATTTAAAATATGTATTTGAATATAAAAATATTAGCTGCAGTTTATCTCATAAAACTGTAAAGGAAACACTTTTTTAGCATCACACAAGTCACATGATCAAGAACAGGACGTTACTACTGTCAGAAAAGACGAAGAAGACGTCAGGAAGTGGTGGGACAAGGATGATGATGATAATGATGATGATGATGATGATGATGCATTTTTAATAACTTATTCACATGTGATTTTTACCTGCATTTATCATTTAACAAAAACACAGCAATTGCAAAATTCTGTTGTTTTTTTGTTTTTTTACATGAGTACCTGCAACGTTTTGCAATAAACTCGCAGGATGTGAAACATTATTATGGTTCTTATGTATTAAAATAAGGGAGATTCGGGAACTTCCGTATTTTCTAACCTTTTTCGTCTCACCTTCTTCTGACCTTTTTTCATCATAACGCAACATAACTGGCTCCAATTAGAGACATTATCAACCTAATTACATATCCTGCATTCAGTAATAGCATCTGGCACTTAACATGTCTGCTCTCGTTTTTAAACTGACAAACTTCTGTTGAATTATTGTTTTCTTCTTCCTAAACATAAATATTAGAAAATGTTCAAATTTACTGTCACATTTCTCCTACCAGTTTTAAGTAGTTTGCTTGATGGAATAGGAGAAAAAAACTGAATAAAGTATTTAAAAAATAACTTTAGCATCAGGTTTATGGAAAGCTTCCAAGGTTTTAACAATTAAAGCTTTTGCTATTTTCAGCTTTTAGGCAACACTGCTGGTTTAATAAACAGGCAGCCACATGCAGTCTCACTGCTGAGGCAGTTAATTTGTCTAATTAATTAGCTCGACACCAACATGCTATTCTACAAAGAGCAGAACGTCAGAAAAGGGATAATTTTCTGCACAAGTACCTTCAATTTAGAACTACAGCTAAATTTATCTGCTGTTTGTTGGCTGTTTTTTTAACCACAGTGACTGGGAGGCAAAAAGAAAACAAAAAATCTTTTAGCTTCGCCTACTGATAATGGTGGAACTGATCTTAGAACATGAAAAACCGAAATCCAACAACTTTAAATCTTATCAAATGCAATAATCAAAACAAATCTGGTTCTGGGGATTCAGAGCCGACCAGAACCAGTAGCAGAAACAGCAAACCTTTCCAGGCCGACTTTGTAACCGTCTTTATGTGTCTCTGCAGGTTCAGGTTCTGGATTGTTCCTCTTTAGGTCTAAAGATAATAATTTGAATTTAGTTTCTGTTCAGCTGGAGAAAGTCGTGGCTCAAAGCTTTTCTCAGTTGGGAAGCCAAACTGAAAGACGTCAACGCGGCCGGCCATCGTTAAAGGATGCAGCTGCTTTTCATGACGCGTCGTCGTGTTGAAACAACTTCAGATTTAAAAATGTTTTAACAGCATCACGACTGCATTTGGACATGAAACATAACTTAGTTTTACGGAGAAAAGTGAGATAAAAACATTACTCAAAAATATAAAGTAGGTTATTTTGGTGACAGTTTTTGGAAAGCAAAAATTAAAAAAATCAAATTAATAAATGAATAAACTTAAGTCAATTATTCGTCAGTATATATGCAAAAACTAGTAGTTTTATTGGAACATCTTTTCACTTCAGACAGGAAAAATGTCTTGTTATAAGTGAAAAAATCAGACTAGCTTATATATTTTGCCTAAAAGTTATTTTTGAGTTTATTTTTCTTATTTCAAGTGTTTTAAAATAAAAGCTCTACAACAATATTTGGTAAGATTTTGTGTTTTTTGCAGCTTACAAGCCTGAACATTGGAAAACAGGACACATTATGTAAATGAAAATATTTTATCAGCCGCTATTAAATTAAAATAATTTATAGTCAGTTTATTCCTGTGGATCTGTTGTGAGTGTTTGTTCATGTTAAAGGGGATTTTTTTGTCTTTTTTTCACAGGGAAACTGTGATTCTTTTTTTCAGTCAACACACTTTCGCTTCACTCGTGTTATTTTAAAAAGCGACTACCTATTTTCTACAAATCTTGGTTTAAATCGGAGCCAAAGCACCGATTCAGCGTCGACATAAATGTTGCTTCTCAGTGGGGAGTTGCAGTTTTTCTCCGAGCTGCCGGTGAATTTGGCGCAGCGGAAACCAGGCGGCTGCAGAACGAAAGGCGCAGAATGAAAATGAACTTTCTCCGTCAATCAGCTTCTCTCCAGAAAGACAGCAGTCCGCAGAGTACGATTTCTGGAAGGCCAGGGAAATAAATAAATAAGAAAGCAGAGATCATGAGTGTTTGTATTCATGAATGCGGCAGCGTGGGCGAGTGAGTCTCCAGAAAGTGACAAAGATAACAGGGCGAGGGAACTGATAGACAATTGCTGGGTGACTTGGCTCCTATTTCCTGCCTGTCCCCGGTGATTACCTCGGCCCGCTCTGTTTTTCTCTCTATTGCTGTGCACATTGTCAAACAGCATCATCTTGCAAAGCCTCCCTGAGCCCAGATGAGAGATGGAAAGATTTATGTAAACAACATCTAACACCTCGACATGCTGGAGAGGGACAGAGGAAAGCGGGGCGAGGTGAAAGGAAAAGGCAGGCTGAAGCACATCATTCAGACGTGAAGGTGTGACAGAAGCAAACCTGCAGAATATTGCACATTCAATTTATTTCCTTTCACTTTTTCTCTCCTGCTTCTGTCGGTGCAGAAGTGCTTGTTGTCACTGCGTGGAGATCAGGAGCTTTGGATAAAGACAGACCACCTAGTGAAGCAGACGGCGTTCTGGACTTTATGAGCGGTTCAAGAGCTGTGTGAACGATCTGGGCGAGCTGGGCCGGCGGCCAGCGCCGATGACACGGCAGACGCTGCGCACGGCATAAAACGTGTCTGCTGCAAAACTGTTTTCTTTGTCTGCCAGAAAGTAAAAACTTGATTGGGAACAGAGGTGCCTATTACAGTCAGAAGTAATAATAGGGTCGGGTGACGGCGTACATGACAGAAGACGGGGGAAGAAAAAAAAAAAAGGCCTTCTGGCAAAAGCATTGTAGCCGAGCAGGGCGTGTGCAACGGCGGGAGGCGCTGGTGCTGTTTGGGTGCTTATTTACTGCAGGAAATGGTAGCAAGGTATGCAAAAAATGAAGAAGAAGAGCCAGGAGCTTCACAGACAGACAGACAGAATCGCTGTGATGATTGTTCACAACAAGCCAAGAAACTGTAAAACTGACGTCTAACAAAGGAGGTTTTTGAAAAGGGTAAAGCTGTTTTTGATGGATCTGAACTGGAATCTCTTAGAGAAAAAAATGGCTGCTGAAGAGAAACATGCATGTAGAAACTGTTAAGTTAGTGAAGCTCATTTTCGTTTGCATGGTTTAAAACTCAACCACACAGATGTGGCCCGACTCCAGCGGTTCTCCATGTTTGCGGGCCACACCCACTTCAGCGGCAACAAAGCATCCGCACCACACCGCGTCAACACAGCGGATCAAGAAGTGGGTCGTGTATAATTTCTGATCGGAATTTATTCACCAAACACTTCCCCCTCCATTTTAGACAAAAATGTCTCGGCGGATCCGTGTCTGTCGCTCCCAGGCGCCGCTTTCCATACCATAATAATCCTAACCCTAATCACAAACTACGTTTACAAGTCATAAAATACAAACAGCTTGTTTTCCTGTGTACGCTTTCTCTCAGGAGCGCCCTGCGACTGTTTGGGCCTGTCACCATGAAAACAAGCCTGGTCGGTTCAGTGCGACCCTTTGAACGTGACGTCATCACGCAGACACCTGTAACCTGACGTCGCTGCGCGGTCGGAAACAGGCAGGGAGTAAATTTGTTTAAAACTTAATGAGCGGCCGTGGATAACCCTCGGCGAAATCAGGATTTGCACCGATTTACAAGACAACTGACGTTCATATGCTTTATATGCAGGAATGATTACAGGTACGCTGCGGCTAACAACGTCATGTAGCCTAGCATGCATGGAAAAAACTGGTTAGCATCTCGACTTCTGTACGTTTTTAAGGCTGTTGGTGAAACAGGAAACGCCGTTTATAATATAGTGACATAAATAATGTTGTGTGAATTCGGGCAAAGTCGGTAATTTGATCAAAACGTCGGGAGGAACGGGTCGGTTTCTAAGCTAGCTGTTTTTCCAAATCGTCTGTGAGTCCTAACCAGGCGTGTTACGTTCACGGAGACATATTCCCGTCCCCGTCCATCCCGTCCATCATTCCGACTCTCAGGACTCTTTATTCTGTCTCTGATGAGACGTACAGAAGTTGCCATCCTTCCAGTTTCAGCATCGTTGTTCCCCAGTGAATGCTTCTAATCTACAGTCACAGGCCCATCCTGTGTCTTTAGCTTTATTTCAAACCCAAAAGGTAAAATAAACATGCTTTTGACAGCAGCATAGCGCTGCAGACTTCCTGCAACATCCAGGCAGCTTGATTTCTACTCTGGTTTTCGCATCACTAAATAATTTATAGACTTCCAGGTGGACTTTGCATTTAGGACTGTGGTTCGCGGCTCCAACATGACAGTGGACGTTTCTGTTTCTCCATTTGTCTCAACTCTGAGGCGTCTTCATTTGTTTGGACATGACCGAATGAGAAACACTGTAATATTAAAACACAAGAGTAGTTCTTGTCAATGTCTCTCAATGGGTTAGCTTGTTACTGCTCGGTGATGGAAATACTGGAGATGAAGCTCGACATATTTATATGTCTGACGCTCTTATTATGAAGTCAAACAGGAAATAGTACTTGAGTTGGGTTCATAAAGCTAGTTGGGCAACACGCCAACATTTTAAATCATTTGCGTTGCAGGATTTTGAGTTCCCAGTAGAAAATGAAAGAGTTACAGCTGAGAAATGAAGCAGAAAATATTTCATCTGGCTGGTACATAGTTTAATTCAAAGGACTATTTCACTGTTTGTAGAAAGCTGGAGTACATTTTATAAACTCTGGCTACATATTTGATTGGTTGAGATGTTTAATTGCTCACTGAACAGGTTGTTAAAGGATTAAAAATAAATAAAAAGTGATATAATTCCTTTCTGGAGGAGAATTTTAGCATCGAGCTCACTGTTCATTTATTTGGCAGAAATAATATTTCAGTTGGAAATGTTTTGCGTTTCTGTTACTTCATTTTAAGAAGCTTGAAATGTTTGACGTTCGTGTTTCAGGTTGACATCGGCAGCATGGACCTGATGAAATTAGAGTTTTCCTGCCTTCTGCTGAAACATTTCATGCTCTGTGTTGCCTCAGCTCCTCAGACATAATAAGGACACAACGTGGTAATTAGTCGCCGTGCAGCTGTGTGTGGTCTGTTTACATGAGCCCATAATGTATTGTTGAAATGTACCTGAGGGATGAGAATTTCTCATGTACAGCGTGACACGCCGCTGTGAAATGTTGGACTTTGATCCTTTAATGCAGCCCGGTTTTAACGGTAAGCTCCTCGTTTATCCACTGTGAGAAAAAAACTCTGAGGCGTCTCTGACCTTTGACCCACCCAGGTTGGTTCAGGAAGCCCTCCGGTGTGCAGGCATGAACGCAACGCGACAACAAGCTATCAAACAAAGACTGAGACCAAAACAATTACACACAAGTGTCATAAATAATGTCAGCCCAGATGCTCAGCCGTCCCTGTTCCACTCAGTTCCACCCTGTTCCTAGTCAAAGCACATTAAAGGAGCTTTGTGTCGCGGCACAAGGCTGAGCATTGTTCTTTGTTCAGTGCTGTCAAACTGGTGGTGTAAACAGAAAGGCTGGCTTTCAACTGGGCTCAGGTGTTCAGGAACAGAAACATGCGACTCTGTCACCAGCAAACTTTATTTATTCAGAACAAAAGTAAAACTGTTTCCATCCTGAGGCATCAAGGAAACGTTAATTATGTGTCAAGAAGCAAAAATAACTGTATGCAGGTTGGAGAAATCAGATTTTTATAGCAAACGTAAAACATTTCTTCAACCAGAGCTGGTTAGTAATAGTTAGATTTACTTCAAAAATTTACTTTTAGGAGTATTTTAGTCATGTTCTAAAGTATTTGTACTCTGACTTGAGTAAAATTTCTGGATTTTTTACTGACTGAATGAGAAACAAACATGTTTTTACCAAAAATTCACCGGACACAGACACAAACCTGCAGATTTGTTAAAGTTTTTTATTGAAAGAAACTGATTTGATTTGCCTGGTTTTAATATTTTTTGGATATTAATACACAAAATCTCAACTTAACTTTATGTTGATTTGTAAATATTAAATGACAGATCATTTCATCAGTTACTCAGTACCAGAGCAGATCTTCTTTTGAGTAATTTCTAGGTAAATCTTTAACCTAACCCTAACTCTTTTTACTTTTACTTGAATAAAAATATGTTGAAGTAATGCGAGTCTTAAGTATAACTTTTGATCACTCTGCATCTGGCATTTAAAATAATAATGAGCTAAAAGGAGTTTTTTAATGAAAGGAAAACTCTTTGTGTTTCTAATGTTTTCCATTTAGGAAGATCTAAATACATTATGAAATGTTTCCATCTGCATCATTTGATGAAGTGTCAAATTCTTACATTTCAGACACACAAAGTATTCAGAGGAAAACCAAATAACAAAATAATTAAAAACTTTTTCATTTAAACGCCAGCAGTTTCATTTTTACATTTACATTTTATACATGAAAACCAATTTCACACTGTCCTCCTTTCACCTTTCTCTGCTAAAATACCTGCAGTTTTCTTACAAACCATTTTAAAAGGTTGGCTGAACACAAGTTAACTCCAGTTTTCATTCTGAACAGTTTCATGTTTTCTCTGCTTAAGATACTTTTATGAAAAACTGTTCCAGTCAAAGTGCAAGACAAACTGCATTAATCAAATAAAACTAAAAATGTACAAGTTCTGAACTAATTTTCACCTTCAGGAATATAAAGTGACTGAAATACTTTCTATTATATTATTCTTTTGCTGAGAACATGCTCTGTGTTGGTATAGGTTTATAACGAGCCACACGAGAAAATATAAAGATTAGAAAGTACAGATATTTCTCTTAAAATGTAGGGAATAAAAGTAAAAAGTCACTAGAAAGATAAACACTCAAGTAAAGTGCAGAAATATTTTCCTATATGAACTGCAGAGAAATCCATGAATCTGTGAATCCAAAGAGGTGAAATGAAGAGTCAAATCTCCTCCATAAAATACTGCAGATTTATGAAAATGTAAGTACCTGACGCTTCTGCCACAGTGTTAATGTTTTCGGTCGGTTGAGAGTTTGCCTTGTTTTCCTGTGAATAATTTAAACATTTCATCAGAGCTAACTGAAGAAATGTCAGATGTACTGCATGTTTTCAGGATTTTGTTTGGTAAATTCATAGCTTGTAGTTTTAGTGATGCTACACAGAGAGGAAAAATGTAAGCAAAGATTTGGATTAGCCTATGTATTAAAAAATGTAATTGTTAGACACAAATCAAATGTTGGATGTGAGGATTTTCAAATTATTGTTTTTCTTTAACCTGAGGACATGTTATGCCTGAAAATCAACTAAGCCAAGACAGTTTGAAGCAGAATGAAGTTTAGCAAACTGAGCCTCATTTTTAAACCCACAACCAAACCGAACATTTTAGTTTTTCTCCATCTTGCAGCTGAAAATTACTTCTTTGTCCTGGTTAAATGAAGACCTGGATTCCTCCTTTAACTTATTTTAATGTCCAAGTAAAAAAAAAAAAAAGAAGAAGTTCTCATCCAGTTTTGCCAAACTTTTTTAAACAATTGGGCACTGTGATGGTTAGTCAATAGCAGCACATGTGCAGCGTTAACCAGAGGCCTCAGAAACACATGTGCAGCGTTAATGTGAAACATGTTTCCCACAGCTTGGCCTTAATGACCAGATGATCGACTCGCCTGTTGTCTCTTTTTCCACTGACAGAAGTGCTGACCGGCGGCGGCTTCCTGGTTCCCAGCGCTGGTTCTGTCCAGGCGGCAGGAAGTGAGGCGCGCATGTTGCAACACATCATCACCAGGTTTCCCTCAGTGGCTTCATGATGATCTTAGGGAGGAATTCTTTTGTCTGTCCTTATGGAAACAGTGTCTGTTGGTGTCTGATGATGACAAATGAGCCGCATACCGGCTCTTCTTTCTTCCGGAAACTGTTTTGAAACTTCACACCTACACAGTCCAGGGAAAACTTTGCTCTGTTTACAGTTTGTGATGGTGAATTAAACAAAATTTGAGAGTAAAACATAACGTTTGAAGAGATTCTTCACAGTATTTCAGTGTTTTAAATAAATGCTCAACTAAAATGTTTGGTGAAAAAACAACAAAAAACATTGTTTTGGGTTTTTGGTGGAAAGCGACAAAAATTATTCAGAAATGTTACTTTTAAATTCACCAGAACTGTCAGTTTACAGGCAGCATCGTTCATTTGCCAAGAGGTTTTGCTTTGCTCAGATGAAAACTGCTGCCTGTGGCGGCGGAGTTGGAGTATCTTGTTGTGATACGGCGAAGCCAAACGAATCGAGTTTTCATCTGCAGGAATGAGGAAACCGCTCCAGTCTGCTGAGGTGAAGAAGAAAGGAAACACTTTTGATTTCCTTGAACCATCTGCGCTGAAACCCTCACTAATGGTCATGAGACTCTGATCGTCTCCAAAAGAACAAGCTGCTGAAATAAACAAACTGCTGAAATAAACGCTGAGAAGTGAAAGACGTCCATCATGGAGGAGGAGCTTAAAGCAGAACCAGCGGTTCTTTGTGGTTGTTGAGGGGATTCAGACGTCTGATTCGGTCGATGTTTTCAAAACACGAGATTCCAAAAATGGTCCTAAAGTTTCTCTTGTTTATTCCAGCAGCCATTGTACAGAGCGGTTATTTTTTTTGTAGACACTGCTGATGCGTGCAGTTTGCCTGCAGAAAGTGTCAAAGGGTCTTTAAACGCCGTAGTGACCTAACTTTACCTTGATGTTTTAACATTAGCCAGCATGTTGTTAGCATGCTACAACTGTTTATCACCAGTAGCTTAAAATAAGTTAAGCTACTAAATTGATATTTTTAGCGACCCGTAAGCACTGAATGTAGATGAGTTGATAAATGACAAGAGAAAAACAGAGTCCATATTTAACATACACAGGACAAATAAAATAATTTATTTCTATTTTGGTCTCAATTAGAAGGAAAATGAACATGAAGCTGCATCCATCAGGGCAGGTAATAAACTAACCCTTAAGAAATTAAAAATGGAGCAGGATGAACACGAGGCAGTGTGAAGTACAGAGCCGGTAGAGAGGCAATCTGTGTGGGCTGCGACTTCTAAATTTTATTATTTTCATTGTAAATAGTTTAAATAGTTAGCATAACGTGTTCCTGCCTGCGCTCTGAATGTGTCTTCAACTGATAATCCCTCTGCAGCGCATACAGCGGTAAATAAAAATAAAAGTACAGCAGTGAAACCGGCTGACCAATCGTGCTGGAGTTCCTGTCAGTGCCTTTCAGCTGTGATTTTACAATCAGGAAGTTTTTGAAATGGTTTATTTTCCAGACACCAAAAACATTTTACGAAAAATGTAAATATTTGGACGTTTTTGGAAAAAATTAATCAATTTTGCATAATTAATTCTCTTTGATCCTCCAGTCCTCATTGGACCAATCAAATTATACAACATCTTGAATATTCTTTTCAACTAAATTGCGTGGACTGCTTCTGAAAAGTCGATCCAAACTTCCTGGTAACGTTTTGTGAAATGACTCCAGGTGCATTCAGGTACGTTCAGGTGCATTCAGGTGCGTTTAGGTGCATTCAGGTGCGTTCAGCTGCTTCATCTGCGCTGCGGCTGTCAGATTCAGGTATCGCCTGGTTCTCTGCCCTTTCCCCCTCAACACGTCACTTCAGCATCACACTTATCTCTAACTTCAACCCGTCTCTGGCTCTCTTTTCCCTTCCCCGCTCTCCCAGCCCCGCTCTCCCAGATGGTTTGACATTTCTGTCTGTCTGACAGATAAAATAACCTCTTTCCTCTCTCCTACTCCAGCTTATTTTATTCTGCTCTCTGTGCTGTCAGGGCCAGTCAGTGTCACGGCTTCCTGATGTTTTCTGACTGCGCCTTATCTCGTCTCTCTCTCGCCTAGTTTAATCTAATACTACACAACATCCACGCACACATGCAGCTACCAAACACATTGTCCTTTTGCTCCCCAGTCCTGCAGGCAAATCCGTTTTCACACGAGGCCACATTGTTCTTCTGGGCCTGAAGAATAACTGGGGCCCATCCTGCGGCCCGCCTTTCTGTAACCTTGTTTTCTCGCGCAGGTTAAAATATTTTCACACCAGCTCTGAGCCGGGGTAGATAGAGATTCACGGGGCAGGAGGTGAGGAGCGTTTCCGGCTCTCTGGTCGGAGCGGCGGCCCAGCGGGGCAGATAACAGACACCCCGAAGGAAAACAGCCGGGCAGCGAACGGCTGGCTGTTAGTGAAAAAATAAAAATAAAATAACTTTAAAGAGTCATGTGCGGATGTGTGGGAGCTGGGCATGCCACACTGCAAAAACCATCAAATCTGAGCAGGTTTTTCTTGACTTTCTAGTGGAAATATGAAAAAAGACTCAAAACAAGACAAAACTGACTGACTTCTAACTTAAGGAATAATTAAGTCAATAATTCTTAAAAACTGCAAAAACACTAAACATTACCGAGTGTTTTTGGTCCAGATATTTAAACTGTGTAGTGAAATAATGTTCATAAGAATGCAGATTGTTTCTTATCTTTTCACTTTTTACATAGAAAGTACTCCTGACCCTGTCCGTCTATCCTTTCCTGCAAAAATACAAAATATTTTCAAGAATTTTCAAGTGGAAATATTTTAAAATAGTGAAATAAGAGAAAACTAATATACAAGCAACTTTTCATCAAGACTCAGCAGCTTGTTGTAATTTAATAATATTGATGAAAAAAATTCTGGTTTCATTATTTTATTTATAATGTAGAAAAAATGTCTTCTTGTAATAGAAATAATCTAATTAAACTAGTAGTTTTTCATCAGAATTAAGAAATTATTTACTTAAAACAAACTTCTACATTATTTGTTTTAATTCATTTCGATATTTGCAGAATAAACCAAAATTACTTGGTGAGGTTTTTGTAGTTTATTTCCACTTACAGATTATCTCTCTCATAAAATGGGAAAATAAATGAATCCTGTTGTGATTATTCGTCTGGACAATAAATCATCCCAGAAATGATCGTGACAAACAATAATATTGTTGTTTTGATGATTTTTATGGTGCAATAATGCAGTTTCTGCCAAAGGCACTTAAACTTAAATTTTGTGGAAAAACATTTAACACTGGAAGACATTTTAAATCACAGCAAAAACAAAAGACCAAAAAATAATAAATAATTTTTCATCAAAAAAAAAAGGAAAAGTCAGACAAATGTACTTAAAACAAGCTCATATTGTTTCAGTTCTGGCTGAAAAATTACTTCTCAGTTAATTTTGTCTTATTTCAAGTGTGCTTAGGTATTTACATTGGAAGATAAACAAAAATACTTGGTAATATTATGTGTTTTTACAGTGTTCACCATGTTTCTGCTTCATTTTGTCAATTCATTGAGTCACATCTGGGTAAAAATCCCAAAACGTTTCTACTTTCAGTATTTTATAGAGCTGCTCTGATTTTTTTAGACATTATTTTGAATAACTCATGCAATTGAAGTTTTATTTCCGTCATTTTTCTTATCCCGTATCGATTCTTGGAAAACTCCCAGAGACTCTCCTTGCCGTTTGAGTCTGATCTCCACCCAGTCGTGTTGGGAAATGACCCTCCTCTCCGCTCTGCGTTCCCACATGAAGCGAATCCCGGCTTCGGATCAATCCCCGCCACCTTCGTGTTGGGAAAGACAGACGGTCCCAAGTGAGGGAGTTTATCAAGGACTGTTGTTCATATCTGTGGAGAGCAGAGAGCAGCAGATCGATAAGAGTGATCGGTGCCTCGCATGGAGCTGAAATGAAAAGGTTTCTGCCTTCACCTAAACTCATGAGATCATTAAACAGACGCAGCGTCTGAGGCAAACGCCACAGCAGTCAGGAAGTTAATGCGCCAATATATCTACACTGTAAAACATCCAAAGCTGGTTTTAGTGGAAAATGAAACTGTCCATCAATATAAACATGTTTTTGCTTAATAAAAATAAAATTTCTTACTAAAAAGTTACTTTAGCTTTGTCTTATTTGAAGTGTACGAAGATATTTGCTTTAAGAACAAGACAAAAATAAAGATTTTGTGTTTTTGTTGTGTAATAGATAGATAGATAGATAGATAGATAGATAGATAGATAGATAGATAGATAGATAGATAGATAGATAGATAGATAGATAGATAGATAGATAGATAGATAGATAGATAGATAGATAGATAGATAGATAGATAGATAGATTTCCAACTTAATGTAAAAATAATCATAGTAGAGATTATTTATGACTTCAGTATTCAATGGAAAATGTTTCTATTGTAACGTTAAATGCCAACCAGGTTTTTTACATGTTTCCTTTAACAATTTGTTTGAAAAGGCCTACTAAAAAAAATAATCAGATTTATCACAATTAATCACTATGCCTGACTTTGAAAGCTTGAAATATAAATGTGCACTAAGTTGTGGTTTTTGTGGCATTTAAAATGCAATTATCAGGTTGTTTTTGCAGCAGAAAGCATCTAATATAGTCTCCCACTAACTCAACAGCAACTAAGTAAAATTTGCTCCACTGTGCATCTTTATTGCCTCCCCTCTTTCTGATACCGCCCTGGGTAACTGCCCTTATCATGCACATTTTCAAAAAAATGCTTAAGAAGATGTTTTATCATCTTAAACCAATCATGTCTGTCAGTTTTCCAGGTGTTAATATTCAGGACTTTTTAACAGTTTTTTTACAGAAGTGTGGATGTTGACGCCCTGGTAGGTTGCCTCTCTTCCCCGGTGCTCCACGCTCGTTGCCAACAAATCACTGCACAGACGCTGGGAGACACATCAGAGTGATTCTGCTGGCTGTACTGGTCCACATTAAAGACGAAAGGCAGCTTTTCACACAATGCAGTTAGCACAGGATGAGAGGCTGACATCTAAATTACCCACAAAGTGGCTCAGATTAATCATTCATTCTCCTGCAAGCCCCGACAAGAAGGCCCGACAGATTGTTCACACACACACACGCACACACACACATGCACACTCACGCCAACT